ATACTGAGGGATGAGGGGATAAAGTGATGAGGGTTGAAGGGATGGGGGGTAGGGGTCGAGGGTTGAGGGATGAAGGGATGAAGGTCGAGGGATGAAGGGTTGTTGGCGGACGTGAAGGTCGAGGGATGAAGGTTTGTTGGTGGGTGAATGAATGGAGGGGTTTGGCGCGATGGTAAGAGGGAACCGAGTGGGTTGTGAGACTCTGAGTGGGGGAGCTGTCTCTTCATATCTCTTGTATAGAGCCCCAGTGGTTCCTGTATTTGGATAAGGAGAGAAAAAAAAAAAGGATTTGGGGGGAGGGATGTGGAAAATGAGTCGAGCAGGGAGTGAACAGATAAGGTGTGCTTAAGTATGTTTTGAGCGGAAATTAGATGAGTGCCGGGCGTGGTCTCTGTTCCCGAAGCTAGTTATAAAACTTCATATAGCCATGTTTTCATTAGTGTATAATCCTCAGGGATATATTTTATATATTATATATCATATCATATTTCATATCTATCTGTAATTTTGTCTTCCTGATGGTCCAAACGGTATTTTTATGTTGGTCTATTCTGTACACACGTCTGTCTATCATGAAGACGGATCGCTCCTCTGTTGCTCTTCCTGAGGTTCCCATTCTTTATTAAAGGGGAATAGAGGGTCTAATGATAGCGGGTGTCTGTAAAGCCATTTAAGGAAAATGTATTATTTGTGATATTGGACTTTTAAGAATAATTATCCAGGGCGCTTCCCTGACTCTTTATTAGTTAACATTGATGATATCATTAAAAGGAAAACACTTAAATATTCATTAAAGCATTTTAGTCATATTTGTTGAAATTCTCTTTACATCCCAACAGAAATCAATACATCAAATTCTCTGGGAAAACAAATAAAGAAGAAAAAGAAAATCCGTTATGTGCAGCAGTCACAGGCCTGTAATAATCCCAGCCAAACATTTCATTTGGACCAAATGAAATGATCGTCTGGCCAACCTACCACCTCTGTGCACTCTGCCCGCCCGTCAGGAAGGGCACCCGGTGTAAAAAGCCAATGCCAAATCAAATATGCGGATCATCAGATCTGCAGATGATACGCTGTGGCAGCCCCTACGGGCTTCACATATGACTTCATTATGTTAGAGCTACAGTCCCGTCGCTTTATGACCTTTTTTCTATATTTAGAAAATGGACCCTTTTAGACCCTCGAATACCATAAATATGCCACAGTACCAAAAGAGAAATACTGGATATTAAAGTGAAGCAGGTGTTATTTTTTCTTTTTTTAATTGTTTTACTTTTTCCACTTTTCGGTCTCAGGTCGAGCTGCTAATGGTCGCGCTCAGGTTCCTGGATCCTTTTCAGGGTTGATACAGATTTCCCAACCCATTAAGACCAAGCCCCCAGGAAGACTTTTTCTGAGAAGGTTACATTGTGAAAGAAGCGGCTGTAAAACGATGGATACATCTTTTGTTTAGCATCACAACCTCCGTGCAATGACTCATATCACTACCAGAATTTGATCCATTCAGTCTGACATTTTTAAAGTCTAGAGGATTTGTACTCATTCAAGTTAACGGAGGGCTAAACTGGAAGTTTTCACAGGATACAGCGTTGGAGCACTCTTTGTACATCCGTGTTTAAGACCCACAGAGTCGAACATGTGCAGCTGATACTCAGCAGAGAGAAAACTGGTACCTGGGTAGAGTTCAGTATAAATATGTGTATTTTTAATCAAGTATTTCTATATTACAGTACTTTTACATAACTAAAGGATTCAAGTAATTATTCAACAGCTGAATAATTACTGGTGAATGCCCTTAAGCTGTAAATGTGCGTCATATTCAATCATCTGTGTGTGGCTGCTGCTTTTCAATTAGAGAGTGACTGGCTGTTTGGCTCACGGCGAGCCACCCACCATTTCTAAAGAGACGATCATTGTCATTATTCTCAGCTCGGCTCGGCTCTCTCAGAGTTTTGAAATGGAAAACGACTTTCCAAAGATGAGAAGTGAGCGCGGAGAATCCTTTAAGCCGAGAGTCCACAGGGAAGCTGCACTTATCTCCCTGTTCTCAGTGAAAGGTGGTGCAGCTGCATATTCCTGACAGCGCCGAGGGGGCTGCCTGCTCTCCACACTTGAAAATATTCCAGCTTCATCCATAACCACACTAACAGCAGTCTCAAGGTAACAACAGGAGCTACACTCATTCACCCAAGCATCTGTTCAGTTCACTAAAAGCTTGAGGTGAGGTGCCTCAGGTGAAAAACCATGATTTTCAGTTGGACAGGTCAGTGCTGAGGCAGGACATTTCACATTTATGTGTTTTATGATCCAAACAGTCCTCAAGGTATATTTCTATAAACACAAACATAAAACATGTAAAGCAGACTGAAGTTGATTGAAGAGGGATCTTTTTTCAATATGCATATAAGTTGCTTTAAGTGTACATTTAAACACGTAGTGAGGACCAGCTGCTACAGTTGAAATCATATGAACCATGTCAAAATTTAAATAAAAATAGAATCACTGTCCCGCGGTTGTACGCCCCAGCCAGCCAGACAAATAGCAGTTTACAGCCATGTCTGTCCAGATTCAGAATATATATAAGACAAGGAATTTAATTAAAGGTATTAGGTGTATTTTTTGGCTAAATGGAAGTTATCACCATTATTGATGATTGCACTGATAAATGAAGGATTATTATAGATGTATTGGATAAACAGGCACACATGAACTTCATTAACTGTGTAAAGATAGTCAAGATATACAAGTATAGCGATACAAAAGGTGATGCTTTTGTTTTCTCCTGGCATTTTTAGATGCAAAGCCTCTCTATGAGAGATCAAACTCACTCGCAGGATTGCAACTGACTAGCCGTGCTCTGAGTAGTCGTTTGCAGTCATGTGATTTGTGAATAGCAGAATGGATGAGACAGTCAGTCGAAAGCCCATACAGTGCTAGTTACTGTTCACTTATTGTGTCGTATCAGTCAACATATTTGTGAAATCTGGAATTGTCAGATTTATTCCTACAATTATGGCTTAAAACCTATTTGGAGGTGACAATGAGTGTCACTAACTTCCTGAGCTACAGCTGCCCCAATGATGATGACTATCTCCCCTTCTATTAGTTACGGTGTTCACTAATGGCCAAAGAGTGTAAAATGTCCTGAGAGAGATCACGGCCATGGCTAATGCCGGCATGGAGCCATAAAAAACCCATTTGAACCAATTAATTGTCATTTGACCTGCAAAACCACAAATCCATACTGGCAATCTTACAGAGAATTCTTATTTCTGGTGTTCACATCAAGTCATTTTTAATTCCTATAATGGACCGAGGTAATAACTAAACTTAAAAAGAAATGTGTGGACACATCACTGCATGATTCCTTCATGGTGTTTTATTTGTCGGATTTGCTAAAAACTTGCTTTTCGAAGCTGCTGTCAGCCTTCTGTTCAGTTTCTCTCTCCTACATGACAACAAGTGGTCTTTTTGAAGTGGATAAGAACGTGAGGTAATTCTGAAAGGTCATGCCCTCTATGTTTTTATTTCTGTGATCAGGGTGAGTTGTCATTCATGTTTCTCTGGAAACGAATTACAGGAGACAAAACTGATTCCGAAGATGAGTCGTGTTTCTCTGTGAATTAATAAATAAAATAAAAACTTAAGTTAATAAAAGTTAGATTAAATAAAACATTTTCAAACTCCACCTGCAACATCATCTGCTTTAACACCATTGGTCACAAAAAATAGCCCGTTCAGAGCCTAAAATACAACCTAGAAGACAAATAATTGCCTCCAGTCTTCTGTTTTATCCTTATACTTAATTATCCTGACAAATAATAGAATTCATAAAAAATAAATGAAATTTTATGTTAAACGCTAAAAGCTTTCACTCATGAAAAGATTTTTATTACTGAGCTATGCCGGAATAATATCAGGAATAGAAAAGAAGTTTGGACTCGTTGTAATAAACTGAAATGACATTTGGTTTTAAAGGTCGACAAGGACTTAGCCTAGCTACAATCCATAGGAAAGGATTGTTTGTCTTTTCTTTTCTTTTTTTTTACAGCAAATAACCGTCTAGTACTTAAGCTGCCATCGCCAGCTGTATAGCAGTATTGCAACTACGTATTAAAATGACTAATATCAATAACATTATCCTGAATTCAAGCTTTGCTACTGCACACAATGTGACGAAAATGTGACCGAGATGTCATGTGTGCATCATTTTGGTTCAGCATAGAAACACAATTACCCAAAGAGACACACACCAGTCTGTTAATGTCCCGGATCACGTCTGTGTTTGAACCAGACAGGCACTGCATTGTGGGAGTGAAAAGGGCTCAGTTTACAACAAATTACAAAGGACTGAATAGGTGTCCTCAAAGTGTTTTTGGCCTCGGTGTGCAGATGGTAATAAGTGAATAAGAGCAGTGATTTAGCAGGAAGAGCTGGAAACTTTTTGTCCTCAGAAAATGGGACAACAGAAGACCATTGTGATACTGACAGTATAATGGACTGCCAAACCCCTGCAACAAGAAATCAGAGGGAAACCAATAAAACAATGGAATATTAATCCCCATCTCTCTATAGGACATTTTCACCAATGTAAAGCTAAATGCAGGCATTCACACACGTCTATAATGACCAGCTCATATAAAATGCATGGAGCATGTGCATGTCGGAATACATCGGTCTACATTAGAGACTCCCCTGCTCCAACTCGGGTTAATGTAATTCCATCTCTGGCTGACCGTAAATGCAGCGTGGAGCTTTACGGAGGAAAATTAGCCCCAACAGACCCTTTTCTCTCCTTCCCAATCCAATCGGCCTCCCTCTCATTTGTATCAATTAGGCAGGAAAACGTGCTTGTGCGGCGAATGTTGAGAAGCGTTTTCACTGCAGGGACACGGAGAGAAATATCCTTTGGAAAGATCCAAGGTCCTTTATTTGGCTTGGGTTTACATTCTGCAGAACGCTGATAGACAGACTCAAAAACTGACAGCAACACTTGATAACAGTTTGCCCTTTAATGGTTAGCTATTATTACTGACAACCTTAAACATTCATATAGATGGAGGGAAAAAAAGTCGATTTACAGCTTTACACCTTTCATAGACATGTTAATGTTTTATAAAAGCTTTAATTGACATTTAAAACATACATTGATAAGCGTGTTCTGTACACATAAAGACCAAGAACAGTCTGAAAAGTGGCAATTTCTGAGAAAAAAATCGGAAAACTGGATTTTTGTGTTTAGAGAAAACAAGAGTTAAAACAAAAAAAGGCTGCTCTTTAAGACCTCGTTGTCATGGCAGCGTGGGTATAACTAGGCTAATGGAAGGAGGGTTATTAAGCAGATCAGATGTGTGGAGTCGGCTTCCTGGCGCCAGCGCTCTAATAAAGTCAGTAATAAAGAATGTAAGACAGCAGAGACCGACGACAGAATGTTTTTTTATATTCATCACTAAGTGTGAGGCTGGAAATCTGCTCATCAGGGCGAGTGCAGAGTGAGACCTCCTGTACGTTATGAACCAGCTCGTGGCTACACAGCCTGTTGCCTTAACGTGATTTAACTGGCGCCGTCGATTATCTGTGACCTACACGGAGCAGTTTTACACGCAAGCTCATGTTTCACTGCAATTTGTGTCCTGTCACTGTAATTTGCGGGGCGAATAAATGCCTTTGATAACATAAACCCAAAGCTTTCCACATTTATTTGCGTCTTTTCCGTATTCAGTGAGACTCTGTGAAGTGCTCACGGATTACAGAAGAGTAAAGCAGACTGCACTGTAGCTGAGCTAGCTGATGAGCACTTTTGATTTCTGGATTTATTTATTCTGCCAATAAGAAGAGTAAAATCTAGCCACGACCTCTGACTTTTAAAAAGGAAAAAAAAAAAACACCCAGTTTTTGCCGTTGGTCCTTGTTAGGCGGACTGCTTTCTACCAAATCTTTGACAAAAGCTGTAGGAAATACTGTAGTTTTGGCAGCTACCTAAAAAAGACAGTAAAACACACGTGGACACTTTGAATGTTATTTATTCTGAGCAAGGAATAAAGAAATAAAAAAATCTGTTTTAAGGAATTTATCAAATAAAAAATCTCAAACATTTGAAGGTTCCAGTCCGTCCAATCTGGGGATTTTGAGCGTTTTAAAACTGTTAATAAAAGTACAGGACGATGCGTCGGGCTCTTTCTGATAAACTAAACAATGATTAATTTAAAAAAAATAAAACATTTCCTTATTTATGATGGACATAATGCTGTATTGTACTGTTCCTTATTACCGTGCAACAGATACAGTGTTGGAGCTGTGTGTGCCTTTATTCTTCACCATCATTTTAAAAATAAAGAATTGATTAAGTGACACTTCAAATTATCACTACTCGCAGCCCTAAATGAGCCAAGTGAAATTAGTCTTCTTTGGGTAGCTGCACATAATAATCCCCCTCACGGCCATTATCCTCAACATCATCCTTCTCTTAAAGTGTCCAGTGGGAAAAATCTCATTCAAACTGTTTTAGCACACAAGTTCCTCCATAGGAGATGGAGAACGGTGGATATTTCGTCATTTCAAACAAGATTTAAACATTTTTGTGTGACATTTACATGTACATATGCACAGAAGCAACTGTGATTCACACCAACAGCTGTTACAAGTTTTTACACATAAGGCCCATAAGCTTTCAGTTTTTACCAATGTCCACTGATAAATAGCTGCAAAGCCCGGATAACACAAACACTGAAGACGTACAACAGTACCGAAGCTTTAGAATGAACTTACAGTACGTGTTGGTATTTGTCTGAATATAATCCCTACAGCTTGTGACTAAAACCTTTTGTTTTATATTACATACATATTACATTATATTACACAGGGCCTCTCTGTAATTGAACCAAAATAACTTTTTCAAGGTTAGTTGTAAGTCTTAAAAATGCATGCTGTTGAATAAAAAAAAAAAAAGACGACTCAAAAATACCATTCACCGTTAACTTAGTAAATACATTAAAACATGAAAACACATAAAAAAATGATCGGATCAAAAAAAAAATAAACGTTTTAAAGACAAGACAAGAGGTGTCGAACAAAATAGCTCCAACACAAACAGTACAACTACGTTTCTAAAGTTTGATAGATTTTGTTGTCGGGTTGAGTATCAGATAGATTGGATTGATTCTCATTTTGCTCATCTATCTGGGTTCAGATCCTGGCTTTCACAAACTGAACCAAAATATGTCAGCAGTAAAAACTGATTTTAAAAGTACATACATAAAATATGAATATTCTTTATCTTAAACGTCTCTTTTCATTTTGATTTTAACTGAGTTTAGCTGATTTTAGGGCATTATGACTTGAGAAAACAAACACTGTCTTTCTTCTCTTTGTGAAATTATTTTGTTGTAGCAAATAAAAACTGATTAGGAACATTTTCTTTGCTAGTATCCATTACAAGACGCATAGATCATAGTTAGGACTTGAACTCTCAAACTTATGAAATACAGATCTCGTACACGGTCAGTATTTGAAAAAAACAAAATGTCAACTGAGTCTGATAATCAGGCTAATTTCTTTAAAAAAACGGGAAGCTTTAACTTTATAAACTGCTGTTGCTGCTTTGCTGTGCAGCGATTAGCTGGCAACAGTGTGTTGTGACTGGTCACTTACTGCTGACTGATATTATGGAGTTGTTGTGTGTAAGATTACATTAATTTAAGACAGAACTCAAATAAAGATGTGGCCAATCCCATTTTGAGGTTGATAAATGAAATTGAAAAGCACAATTCCTAAACAATCCACGGTTCTTATTAATCTGGAACTGGTACCCATTTGGATACCCAACCCTTTTTTTGTGCTACGTTTTGTTATAAAAAAAATCAACCTTGCAACAATAATTTTAAAGTTACAGGTACTTGATTTAAAGTTTGTGTAATGAGTTGTCTGTGTCAAAGTAGTGTGCCGTTTCACTGAGTAAGGCATAAATCAAAGTGCAACAAAAAAATTAAGATTTTTTTTTATTCCTTTTTTTTTTCCAAATGAGGTGGTCGAACACTAAAAGCTCTACGTGAAAAGCTGTTCGGGCTGACAGTTACGAATCCACGTGTTAAAAAGTTTCCAAAGACCGAATCGATACCAGTTTGTGAGGTAGTTAGATTCTTTAAGCGAAATATTAAACACATCAATATATTCAGGCTGTCAAAATGATAAATTACCTCTAAAAACCCTTAAAATCTTTTGAAGGTATCTCCTACCTGAAGGAATGATTTAGCTTTATGTTATCGTTAGATTGCACTACATTGCTGGACTTGTGTGAGTTGCTGCCAGTAGTCACATATGTCAGACACAACAGCACATTGTAGTGCAGCTGTGACATAATGAAACACAACACAAAGCACCACGAGTCCTTACAGCTTCGTAATGCTTAAACGTGATGAATGAATCCTTAAATGGCCGCCGTATCCAACAGCAGCAAATCAAATAATTAAAAAACAAAAATGTGCCCTAAAATGGTTTCTAAATGGCATGGGTGTGTTACTTCCACCTGCCAACAGTCACTTCACTTCCTCACTGGACCATGTAGGAGGAGAACGTCTCTTCGTGTTTGTGTGAGTTGCGGGTGATGATCTGCTCGATGGCGATGTAGGTCCCCGTGAGGAACCCCACCAACCCAAACAAGCTGATGACGATGTTCTTGATGGTCACCAGCGGCGACAGGCCCTCTGTGTGAAACGCTATGATCTGGAGGATGGGAGGAAAGATCAGCGCCAGGAAACTGCTGCTGACCGAGCCCACCAGTGAGATGACGAGGTCCAGCTCCGGTATCAGGATGGCGAGAGCACCTGGAGGAGGAAATGAATGCTGGTTAACAGACTGACTGTATAACGATGAGCTTTGATCAAGTTGTTCATTGCTGGTTCTTCAGCTATTACTAACCTTAAAACCTAACCCCCCCCCACCCCAACCCTTGTGGCGAATTGTAGAAATTGCGGCTTTTAACGTCCTCTTACTTCACATAACCTCGATGACTAGCAGATCTGCACTACTTCAACAAACCACAAGAGTTATGTAGTGGACTAGATGGCTGTTCTAATTGCATTGAAGTAGTATATTTAATGCAATGTTGTGTTTTAATGGTGCAAATGGAGAAATTCAAGTCTGGCTATAGTGAACAAAATAGAGAAAAAAGATTTTAGATCTTGGATGGCGGCTGTGATTAAATAGATCCTGACAGTTTTTTGGCCAGATCGCCCACCCCTATATGGTGTCACATACATCCATCATTGGACACACCGACACACAGATGATGGCTACGAGCCGAAACCTGGTCGAACAATACAAGTTCTGGCCTTTCCCTTCTCTGTGATCCTGTCAAGGAGGCACAGAAACTCAGAGTCTACAATATATTGGATAGGAAATGCATGAAGGAAATTGACTTAAGTTCCATCTCTGTACAGAAAACTGCAGAAACATCTTTATTTTGGGGAAACTCCAACACAGGTCTTTTTACAGATCTGCACAATTTTGGTATTAACTTCGCTACACACAATAAAGACTGTTGTGAAGCTCTTTATAGACTAATTGTGATTAAGGCCATTAAGATTAATTAGACTTGATAGTGATTAATGACTTTGAGAAAAATACAGTACAGTTTCCAGCCTTTTATTTTGGTTAAAAAATGTAGAAGGCTGGAAATAAAACAATAAACAGGACCACTAACCACACTAACTGTGCAACAGCCGTTTGTCATAAATGATTTCTGAGCAGTGTTGAATTTCAGTGCCAACTGCTTGTCAGGACTAACTTCATTATAATTGTTTCGGTTCTATATCGTTGATATGAGCACCCAGTATTTCTACTAATGAGATCCTAACATTAGAAAGTGACTCTGAAGCTCCAATATCAACTGGTAAAATTCCCCCTGCTCTTAACACTTCATTGTGTTACAAGGAGTGACAGGATCATCACTGCTTGAAGTCTGCATTTACTAACAGGCATCGGACAAGGAGAGATTCTAACTTGAAAAAAACTTTGTAAGACTGTGACCTTTGGCCTCTTAGGTGATAGGTTTCTTTTGAATCTGAAGAGCATATTTTCTGATTGTATCTATTCATACCCCTGTCACACTAGAATGATCATGTGTAATAGAAGAGCTAGATGAGGAAATGACTTAAGAGACAAAAGGGACAGTTTCCTTATTTTCATCTACTCCTCTGCACAGATCTGGTAGGAAAATGAGAACCACGTTAGGTAACCGTGTAGAGAAGGTGCAGAAGAGAAGACAGAAAAGAGTGATGGGGGAGAAATGAGGTGAATCGTACCAGGAAATAAAGGTAGGATGAGGATAGAGGACTAAAAGAGATGGATGAGGTAAGGAAGATGACAATGCAATGGGAAAAGTGGGGAGAAAACAACAAATTTAGAAGTACAGGACAGCGACGTCTGCTGTGACAAAATGAGGCTGCGATTGTGCGGATTGTTCTTCACGTCTGCGGGAGGGTCCACCATGCTGCTATGGTCACTGCGGACCCGAGTCTCCTTTACCCATAGCCATGGAGACAGGCATAAACAGCAGTTGGCAGCCGTGTTCGGACAAAACAAGCACCCGCTCTGACGCCACACCGCATTGTCGCAACCAAGGTGTGTTTCCGTTCCTGCTGACACACTCCACAGCGAAGCTTACACTTTGAAATGTGCACATGGGCTATCGTTACACGCATGAACACACCTGAAAAGAGCTTTGCCAAACACACACACACACAGACACACACACACACACACACACACACACACACTTGCTCTCTTGTTCTGTCCGTTAGCATCTTCTCCCTAGTGAGTAAAGAGGACAAGTCGGGTGTACTTGTTCTCTCTATACGTCGGACACCCATTACCAGCGCCTCATAAAAGACTCTTTGAACCATAATCAATTGTGCGCTGCTGCATGTTCAAAGTCTGTCAAATTAACCTATGGGGTGACGGCAAGGTCGAGCTTTCATGTGACAAGTTCGGCAGAAAGCGCCTGGCCGCCACACGCTCCCGGGGAGTTAACCTGTCACTTCCAGGAAAAGGCCCTCGCTGTTGAAGGGTGCTCTTCAAACTACATTTGAAGCTTTCTGAGCCATCAAAGAAGGCAGGCGCAGCCGTGAAGGAGGATGGCGAGGGGCAGGGAACACCTTAAGAATGCCCTGAACTTTCATAGCAAATAAACTGCAAGGCTGTAGCTAAAAGCCTGGCTGCTGTCTCATGGGAGAGGCAGAACGTGGATCATCAGGCAGCTTCAAAGAGCTAAAGGGAACGCTCCAAGCACACTAATTTGGCAGTGCAACCTCCGATCTTACAAAAACAAAGAGAAAATAGTCCACCTTTCTTCCCGTCAGCCTGCTGGGGCTTTGGTGTGCTGAAGTACAGTCTACACTGAGAGAAGGACAAAGACGTTAGAGGAGGAGACGATGTGACGATGGTGGTACTATGAGGTTCGGAAAAGAGTGTTTGATAAAGGCAAGGTAAATGAGGGATCTTATCAACGGTGCACAATTAAACTTGTGCATGTGCATCAAGGTTAAGGTATTTGTGAAGACGAGAAAGCCGTCAAAAGAAAATCAAATAAGTAGTAGCCATCTAATTGGCTACATCACTGTATTACTGTGTTCATGTAGCACGGATCCACTAGTCAATGAGGTTATGCGAAGTTCAGAAACAAATTAAATACAGCAATCTCTACGATTTGCCTGAAGTGGACGCCTTCGATCACAATCTCAAGCTAAAAGGTGGAAGGTAACTCAGTGCTTGGAGCTTAACCCTGATTCAAGACAAGGCCCCCAAAAAATGCAAGATTTGCTAAGACAACAATAGAAACAACCAACTAAAACAGCACAGTATTGAGCAACAAGAAACTCTGGGCTTTTATCTTTACACCCATCGGCATCAACAGACACAAAGCAGGCAAGGCCAGTTCAAATAAGCAGCCAGAAGAAGAAAATAAGGGTAGACTCAGAGGGGAGGAGTGAAATGGGGGTCTGGTTGCCTTTAGATAGTCAGCGGGCAGTTTCTGAACTGAGACGGCAACTTTTAAATCCATTGGGAAAGCAAACTCCTCAGACAGGTAGAGTCAATTACCTCCAGAACCGTAAAGATATAGCCAGCAGGGGGGATGCTCTGAGGTTGGATCAAAGATTTGGTCTTGGTTTTCTCCACAGTCAACCTGGATGTACAGACACTGTCCTACTGTCTCATTTCTGTACATAGCCAACAGCAATCACCAACGAGGCCAGAGCCACAGGACCCTGCTGCCTCTAGCACAGTCAGAGCTGGCTGGTCTGCTGCTCAGTGGACTATAGCTCATTAAAGATGGGAGGGAACTTAGTCTCCCCAACAGACTCCCAGGCTGCTTGCACTCGGACCAACGGCAAGTGAACAGTCAAGGTCTGTATATGCTAATGTTAATTAGCAAAGAGTGGATCTACTCAGCATGGAGCCAGCAGCAGCGGCAACTACATTAAACTTCGCTGACACGCAAACGTAAAAACAGCAACTGGTAAAATCAAGAAGTCTCAGTATTAATCTCATAATGACAAGAAATGACCAATCCTAAAAATAAGCCTTATCCCTGTCGATGCCTTAATAATCAGACGATATCCCTTGAGTAGATCAAGCCTAAACGCCTGACAATATTAAGAAGAGGTGGTCATCCCTCCAGTTCTTGTGATGGTTTAGTTGAAGTCCTTACAAGGAACTTTAATTTGTTGATTCTGGCGTCGTTTTCTTTTTGCATATGTGTTAGCACAGCTGCTTCACCAACAGGGAAATGAATGAATGAGTGGGTGGTGTTTTTCCCATGGTACTAATGTTGTCTTTTTGTAGCCAAGATGTACTATAATTAGGGGTGGGCAAGTACTGTGTATGGTCATACGGTGGGTATTACGATGGATGTTGGCAGGACTAACCAGAAATTATTAATGTAAGTCTGAATTGATATGGACTGATCAGACGTTGCAATATAATGGTTAACAGAACAATAAACAACAAACGATATTTACTGTTATAGCAATATTATATATTATATACCGATATACCTCTCAACACCAACTATAACTTTAACTGCAGTTAAAAAAGTGATGCTACCCAACCCGCCCAGTTGAGAGGAAATGTTAATCTATATTGTCATCCTCCTCCTGTATATGCATTGTCACCGACTGCATTCTTCTTTCTTCCTTTTGTAGAGAGCAGAATGACTTTGCCTTAAGATAATTTTTTTGCAGATGTGATTATTCCATCTTGTGTAAATCCTATAATGGAGAACTGAAGTCCTTGCTGTTGGCTACTATACAATGTGTAGCTGAATGCCTCTTACAAATGACAAAGGGTATTTCACTGCAGAAAGTGCTCTACTGAATGGATGGCGACATGTTGTTGTCTGACAACAGTAACAGTAATTAGATGGTGGGACAATTGGCAGCACTCTCTGAACATGCAGTGGTTCAGTGTTTTGTTCATGGACACCATCTTTTCTCATGATGATAGAAGCCTTTGATGTTGAACCACTGGACAGTTTGTCAGTCCACCCTGTCAATGACAAATATATAAACCATGATGTTGGAAGACAAAGTTATAAAACTCTTAAATATGCTGATTTGCAATTTCTCTGTCGCAGTCTCGTCACTGCCAGCGAATATATCATTTAACCAAACACCCATGATCCCTAACGATCATTAACTTGGCACAAACACACCTCCTCTGCTTTTTTTCCTGAATAATTGCTGTCTCTCCGTCCCTATTAACATAACCTCTGGCTCACCTCCCTCTTTCCCACTACTTCATCACCGTGTTGAGTCAGCAATCAGCT